ATTAAACCCGGGTGCGTCGCCTTGCCTTCATTTCAGGATAAGGGACTGTGCAGGTTCTTGCACGTTAAGATACAGTAGGGTTGCAAATCCCGTCTCCCTCGCCCCTCGTTCTTGTGCTGACTTTGCGGGTCCAACCGGATCATTTTGTTTCCAGTTGGGAAGCAATTGAGCAAGTACCAGGATTTGACAGTCCCGGTCTGTGCTTCAGGGTGAACCCGCGACAGTAGGTACTACTTCCTGTGGGTTTCTCTGTCGTCTTGAAAGATCGGGTAGTTTCAAGGTTAGGCCAAGAACAGTGCATCACGGTTTTACACTGGGATCTTCTGCACCAGTGCAGCTAAATGTAAACCAGTTCGGGTGGGGGGCTGCGTCAGCATGCGTAGCCTGCAAAAGAACGAACAGTAGGTTTATTCCGTGCTGAAAAGAGGAGAGAGAAACCACAACGTCTGGGCTGTGGAGTCTTCTTTGGGTGTCAAATTTAAAGCAGCACAGCATTTCAAAGTGATAATGTTCCTCTAGGGCTGTGAGCCCAGGAACTCTAGTGGTTCGGTTCTGTAGGGGGTGGGTTTTGAAAAATCAGAGGATACAATGTCAGGAGACGGGGACAGGACTATGACTAGAGTCAATGATGAAGAAGGGGTTAAATTCCAAACTGTAGTGATCTCAGGATTGGTTAACTTTTAAGAGATGTCTACTGTATAATTTTGTGAACAACCGCAGATGCATAAAGATCTAGATTCCGAACCACAGCTCTATATGAGAATGATATAAAAAAAAAAGTTTTGTTTTTTTTCCTGGGACACTCTGCTTTCTGCTCATGATCATCAGCCCAAGGCAAGGCAGAGTGGGGAAGTGACGCTCAGAGCTCAGGCATGTGAACTTTATTTGATTAACCAGTCTGACAGTCATCTGTGTCACAGCGCATTTTCAGTAAGCAAACTGCATCTCAGTGCAGTGCTGGAGAAGCACTTTATCTCATGTGCCAAGAAAAGCTGGTGCAACGACATTTTTTTATCCCAGTATATTTTCTAAAAATAAGATAAGTGCATTTCATAACTGAGGTTTGGAAAAGCTGGAGGAAAACGCAGCGTCTTTGTTGCATGTGAAATTGTGGGATACTATGCAGAATTCGCACTAACGCCTTAGATAAGCAAACTAATTAAGTTTACTCTACTTCATGATATAGCAGTAATTGGAGTTTTTGTTCCTCTGATATTTATCAGTGTACTAGTGTACTTTTTGGTGTAAATTAATTGACAGAATTGTGAAACTTCAGTAGTTTCAGTAGTGCCTGTGATTTCTATTAAACATCATGCACTATGGAATGGTCAGTGCTTTGATAAAAGCATATCCTTGCTTTACATTGACAAAAAACTAAACAAATAATATTGACAATGCATAGAAATTTAACAACACTATATGTTGATGCACTGTCTCTGCCTCACATTGAAGGGAACTAATGTGCTATCCCTCTACCACAGCAAAAATAATGAAGAGTCATCCAGTGGGACAGCAGAACTTGAATATCACCCAAGACATTGCCTACAGTTCCTAATTATTTGAGAAAGGGTGCCATTGATAGCTTCAGTATTTGTCTGTGTCAGGGAAGTAAAGGCTTTAGGATCTCCTTTGTGAATGGTTAACAAATTGCAGTGTGTTATTAATTGACAGCTTTTACAATGTTAAAATACAGAATCACGCATCCTTTTTTTCCCCTGCATAAGCAGTGTTCTTCATTGTTCAGGCGTGTGACACTGAGTCTACCCTAAGCATTGCCAAAGCGGTCCTAAGCCATTAATTTCCACTCATTCACTTACAATAATTGATTCCCTGACACGCGAGGCTGGGCTAAATTTCTTGTGCCCAGAAAGGAAACTTACATAAAAACCTGAATTACAAAATGCTTAAACAAAGCTGGAAGGTGCAGAATGTGAACCCGCTTCAATTTAATTTCCCACTTGCCATGGAACCTTGTCTGATATATTTTGAATTACTGTTGTAGCGTGACCCAGTGAGAAGTCTGTTGGCATGACTTTGTGTGGTTTGTTTTTTGTTTGCCCGGGAAGTCATTGCCTAACCTGTGAGCTTGTGCAGTCCAGGGGGATTTCCATCCCATTTCTTCACAGTATTACCTTTTTCTAGATTTTTTTGGGGGACACAAATAGCTTGTTACCAACCTGCCTGTTGAGTTCTCCAACCAGCTAGCCCGGTCGTGCCTCTTGAAAAATGCACCTGTGATGCTTCCTGTACTATAAAGCTTGGTCTCTGCTGAGGACAAAATTGCACTGAAAGTATAAGGAAGAGCAGGAGTGCTTGTCACTGATATTATAGGCCCATACACTCCCAGATCAACCAGGACCAGGACCTGGTGGAGTTCCTTGGTGTGGACTATTTTGAAACTCCTCCTTTACCCTGTGCAGACATGACTGGTCTGAACAGTGAGGTGCCTTCTGTACCAGCAAGGAAGGGCAAGTTAGCAAACCCGGAAACACATCTGCACAGTGGGAGCTCTGAGGATCTCACCTGTAATGCAGTGAAGCCTCTGGACCTGCGCCTGTCTGACTGATGAGAGGGTTCAGTCCATACTCCCTCACCACAGGGGTATTGTTCTTCCTCCCTCTGCAGGTTTTTTGCCTTGACGTCTCTGCGCCTGGTTTTCCTGCTGTCCTTTGGCCTGGCTGTTGTTGTATGCATCGACACCTGGAGAAACAGAATCTGGCCTTGGATCCGAGGTAAGACTGGTCTCCTGTGCCTTTATTTCCTTTCTGAAGATGTATTTTTGCCAAAGATCAAGGTCTGTGCACTGGGTTTAGTTCAGGGTTAAGTCTTAAACGACAGGGAGTAAGCATTCAAGGAAATGCATGTTTTTGAGCTGATTAATAGGAAACTACAAAAAAAGAGGTGAATGCTTATATTGGGACGGTGTGATTAGTGGAGTGCCTCAGGAATCTGCATTAGGACCAAGTTCCTATCCTGATTTATATTTTGTGGTCTTGTTCTGACATAGTTGATAAGTCAGACTCACAAAGGACACCAAACAATGAGGATTAGCAAACAGACTGCAAAGGAAAAAGATATTGGCAACATGTTACATATCTAGCAGATGGCAAGCAGAGACAAGTGGGGGGTGGTACATGCAGGTGTCAAATCCTACAAATATAAATTGGTAAAACTCTGAGCTTGAAGAAGCTGTGTGATAAAGGTCTAGGGATTTATGTTGCCACATTATTTTCATCTCCTTAACAGTGTGGATTGTTATATATCAGATATATAGTTAAACGTTTAGAACTGACATCACCTTACAGTATACAATGTGTTGAAGTTTACAATGTACTGTTAATAACGTTTAGAACTTAGAGACGTGTTTTTCTTTCTCTTTACAGTCAAACAGAAAGATGAGCCTGACAATGAAAGGTATGTATCTTTTTTCAGTCTGATGGTATTTTAAGCCCTCTCAGAAAATAATTTCTCAACATTATGAAAATGTGGGTTTTGGTATACAGTAGCTTAAGCAGAAGATGATGCCAAATGAGTGACACATTCTAACCCTTCCTCTGTCAAGTTGCTGAGCTTGTAATGGATTCCTTTTGGGTTCTAGAGCTCAGCAGTAGCCTCTTACAAAGACTTGATGACCAGATACACACAACTGTCTCTAGGCAGTTACTGGCCTAATCTTTGGTCCTAAACATTACTCTTTCTATATTTCTATATCACATAGGGGTTGGGACCCGATTTGGATGTGGCTATAAAATGTATGTTTTGGGAGACAGGGAGTGCAAGACTTAAGTGACATTGATCAGGTTTGGTTGTACAGGAAACTAAATGAAAGGCATTTATTTTGTATGGTGGCATGTTTTGATGGGCAAATAGTTGAAGTCTGACCCAAACAGTAATGGATTGATAGTGCTGCGGTCATGTGCTATCAGGCGATCAGAGCGTGTCTTCCTGTTTGTCAGCTGGGGCCTCGTCCACCCTGGGCTGCTCAGTGTACCTGAGCTTTGTCATCACATGGCAGAAGTGTGGGTCACAGCAGCATCCTTCACCAAAAGCCTGCTGCATTTCAAAAAGCATAATCCTGGCAAGGTGAGCTCCATTTCAGCCTTTTGTATTCATTTGCTCGTTTGTGTAAAAGTGTCATTTCCTGAAATAAGTGTAGTTGTGATATCAAATAGCCTTTTGTTACTTACAGATGCTATTAAACCTGATCTGATATCTGGATTTCTGAAGTGTGATGGGTGGCTGGTCTCTCAGTTTTGTCTTCTAGTTTGTGGCCTCTTCACGTTTTTAGCGGTGCTGGGGCGCTATGTTCCAGGACTTTTGCTCTCGTATAGTCTTGGTGAGTAGAACTCTTGTCATGCTGTCTTGGGGAAGCTAACCTGGGAAATTGTCCCCGTCTCCTTTATATATATATATACAGGGCAAACTGGATATGGCCATTGCACCTGCTGGCTGTAGTGTGGTACTAAGCACATGGAGTTCTCAGCATGTGATACTGAAATAATCAGAGAAGTAATAGTAAATAGCAGTGTTGGAGGTCTAAAAGTCCCGCATGTTTTCTTTCATGAATAAAACTGAGGTAGTTTATGTGAAATATGGAACATCAGGCATTCAGGAATCATTCACCGATCAGCGCTGATCAGTCAGGTAAGCGATGGACAGGGATTTGTTTGAAGAATTAGTTTTTCTTTATCAAGTAAGAGTTTACAGAGAGCTAGAAAACTTGAGGGACTGTGGAGTAATTGATTTACTTCCTTTTATTGTCCCAGGTGGGAAATTTGATTTGCAGGCAGTTTAAAGACATAACACAGTACATTTAACACAGCATGAGCATATTAACAAATATGCAACATACATGTATGTTGAGAAAGAAAAAATATTAATAAAGTAAAACATTGCGATCAATTGTCCAGATCCTTTAGGTTACAAATTAAGCAGGTTAATTCATTTGCCATTGTTGGTCATTTATTAACATACCAATCCTCTAGTATTGACACTACAGCAAGGTCAGTCACCTCTCCATGAGAGAAGCATTTCTATAAGACAACACAAAACACTGATGTCCCAATAAAAGTGAATGACAATTTCATAGTCATTAGAATAAATGTAAATCTACAGATTGTAATGCTAGGAATGAAAAGCAAGTTATCTGAGCAAGCTGTGCCTTTGTGATTGTGAAAACAGCATTTTAAAACAAGAAAACATTTGGTGATGTTCTTTATCCTAAAATCACTGAACTTTAAACCCTGATGTGATCTGGGACCTAAAGCAGTTGGCAAAGTTTCCCCCCCACCCCCTTCTCAACTCAGGAAAAACAAAACTGTGCTGCTCCCCAGACGCAGTCTGAGAATCGACGTGTAGGTGACGCCAGCAGTGCTGCAGTGCTGAGGTCTCTCTCTCTTTCTCTCTCGGGCTCTGTGCCAGTGCTGGGAGTCCTGCTGAGCCCCCTGGCTGCATATCACAGGGTGGGACAGAAGATCTGCACTTGGCTGGAGCCTGCCCTGCTGAGGCTGGACTTCAGCGTCCGAGGATACATGATGTCGAAACAGAGGGAAAACCAGTGTGAGTGTGCCAGTGGTTTCTATGCGGGATACTCTGTATGTGGGATACTGCACCTTCCTGTGCATATATGTCTTTTATAATCATCCCTAACTTAAATTGCTCATTATGACTTAGAGCTTTTGGTAAAATGTGATGTTTTTCCACATCTTGGCATCTGCTGTTCTTGAGTTTGCATGAGCCATTGCTTTCTAAGACAGGAAAACTGTTCCAGCACGATTTTGGTCCAGAAAGCCAATGTTGAGAGGATGTGGTAGGCAAACAGCTGAGCGGCACAGTGCTCTTGAGAGCTGTCAGTGCCAAATCACGACACTGACGTCTAAACAAGACAGACAGACCGCCATGCTTGTTCTCCTCTCTCCTCCCTGTAATATTTCACAATATTTTTCCCTTTGTGAACAAGCAATTTAGAATGGTAAATATACTGAAACACTCACTTGGAAATTGTGCAGAGAACGCAAACTGTCTATATATAATAAAATACGATGGCACCCTGTCCCCCTTTTAGTTTTCCAGTAAGTCAGCCACCATTACATGGGCTGGGAGGGACACAGAGAAACAGGGTTTTATCTTTGATGGTATTTGGAGCTTAATCTCTGTAAAGCCCTCCCCCCAGCATTCCTGGCAGAGAACCGCTCCCGTTAGCGATGAAAAGCTGTGTGAGCGCCTCTCCCTTCTGAATGGCTGCCAGAGGACTAACCCCTTTGTGCTTCTCGGCGCAGTTCTCCGCAGCCCGCTGGGCCCAGGCCCGCTGGCAGATGGGAGCGACAGTGAGGAGGAGCTGGCCGCATTTTGTCCCAAGGTATAAAGATGAAGAATGCACTTCTAAATATACCGGCTTGTGTTAGTGCAAGAACAAAAAAGCGAAAAGCACCTTCAGTTGCTACAGAGGTTGCTAGTCATGCACTGAACAGGAGAATTTGTAGGTTTTAGTTGCAGGGGAATTGTTTTAATAACTAGCTGCTGTAGTACATATATAAGTCTGGTACAGAGCAAGTCAGAGATACAGCCCAACTTGAGTAATGGGAATAAAACAAAATATGCATATCACAGCCTACTTTTTATATGCAAACCGACACTGGGAACTATATTGTTTTGTACATTGTACAGTGATCGTGAGGTCTCCTTTCCCTCTCCTGACAGTAGGACAGGACATGTACTGGATGTTTAGTGTCCCAGCTTTTGCAAAAAAAAAGGGACTGGACACTTGTCCAACTGTCTGCCCTAAGCAGAACTGGGTACCCCTGTGGCTCCTGTGTGAGGTGTTGTAGTTAAAGGTGCTCAGGACATTACAGGCTCATTGACTCACGTACTGTAGCAGAGGTTTTCCCAAGGGTGAATCACCTCTTCCTTCTTCCCACAGCTGGATGATTCCATAGTGGCCAAGGAGCTGGCAATAACAGATTCGGAGCACTCCGACGCGGAGGTGTCCTACACGGACAATGGCACCTTCAACCTGTCCCGGGGCCAGACTCCGCTCACAGAGGGATCTGAAGGTAATGGCTGTTAGAGTTGTCCCTTGGGCTTTCTTGTGACGTTGCTCATGTCACCCCTAGGAAGCTCTGACACGCTCACCACTGCCCTGAGCTTACACTTCATTTCTAATATCTGAAACAGAAAGGGGAAAGACGTCATGTACTCTGAAAACGGCAGTCTGGACAGGTGGTTTAAGTGTCTGTTTCTGAGTTTGGAAAAGGGTGGTAAAATAAAGCATCTTCCACGTTAATATCACCCTGGTCTTCTTAGGAAGGCAAGTTTGAAATGTGTAGCTGAAGGTTTGGGATGGGTACTTACCTGAAAGAGAAGAAAGTTCTAGGTTGAGGTTTCGCAATTGTATCGTCCTTTTTATGCTTCACTCATTTTTTTTCTTGTTTTAGACAAGCATGTTCGTTGCTTTTTAAACCAACGAAAATACAGGATGCATGAATTGCATAATAAAGTAATGTTATCGGACAGTGTTTCGTCCGAGAATAATTTATGGAAAAGGGTCAATGCAGCTTTTCCAGTCCTCTTCCCACGCCCCTCCCAAATCTTCACAAAAAGGAGTAAAACTAAAGGTGTTTCCCTCCTTTTTTTCCTATCAGTTTGATTGTCATTGTTTTTTTTATGTATCCACCCCACTGGCAATTGGAACCAGCAGTTATTTTGGAAGAGTTAGCTCTGTACCAACAGCTCCACGCTCAAGAGAAAATACAAAGTGTTATTACGCCCCTTGGGCACGCTTGTCTGGAGAGCCACTCATCATTCGACTCTCTTTGATGTGCATCCTGTCTAACCCTGTCGGAACTATAGCCCCAGTCGGGGGTCATTATTGTTTAAGCCAGTCAGTCAGGAGCCCACTTCATTTTCCACAGCCAAAATATTGTCTCTCTCTCCATGTTTAGCATGGAATAAACCTTTACCTGTTCCAGTTCATTTTAATGTCTCTTCGCGTGTTTCGAGACTTCTTAATGAGCACAGTGTGGACCTGTCCCTCCAGACTTGGATCGCCACAGTGATCCTGAAGAATCCTTCGCCCGGGATCTCCCAGACTTCCCTTCCATCAACCCCGAGGCCACGCTGCTGGATGACGACGACGACACCAGCATCGGGATTCCCAGCATCGGGATGGCCGCCGCCCCCGCCCGCTGGTCCCTGTCCCACGAGGACACGCTCCTCTACTCCGACCAGGAGGACGCCGACGGCGAGCCGGCTCCGAGCGGCCTGCTCCCGGCCCGGAGCCTCGCCGACGACATCGCGGGCATGATCACCAGCAACATGATCCAGGCGGTGCTCACGGGGGCCGCCCAGCCCCCAGCCAGGAGGGACAATCCCCAGAGGGCTCCCCGGGGCTACCACCAGCAGTCCAGCTCCGAGCTGGACACCGACCCGGAGGGGGACGATTTCGAGATGCTGGATCAGTCGGAGCTGAATCAGATGGATCCCCTTGGGTCCTCCAGCCGGTCGGGCCAGCAGCAGCAAAAAAATTCTGGATCGAGCTTTCTCTCCAGCCTGCTGGGAAAACCACAGTAAAACCATTTTTCTGTGTAGCGTAAATGTATACATATCAATGTGTTGTGCTCTCGGTGTGGCTGTGGTTGTGTGTTAAAAAGTGGGTGAGGGGGGGTCTGTGTGTGCTGTTGTGAATGTATGTGAGGTTTTGGTGACCAAGGCCTCAGTTTTGGTCCCCTTTAATATCACTGTGAATTTATGTCTTTTTACATGAGTTCCTTCTTCTACATCAGCACTTCCTCCCTGGCTCCTTTGTAGTAGGTGGAGTGACTTCAAAATGAAGGATATAGGCAGGCTTGGCTATAAGGCAGGCATCTGTTGATGAGTGCACATATAATCAAAGATAAAAATCATCTTGGAGTGATGTAACTGCAATAGCATTTTTAGAATGAGTACAGTACTGCTTCCTTTGTTTGTGGACAGCTTTCCGAGATCTAGTGTTTTTGTGTTTATGAGGGGCAAGTGGGTTTAGAAAAAGAAACTTGTTGCACTTTCATTAACAGCTTTTCATTTTGCATGATTGGGACAATAATACTGGGACTGAACACAGACATTGTGCAAACAGGCTGTATGCTGAAATGTGCAATTCAAATCTGAAGAGTTCTCCTTCCTGAAAATCCTAATGAAATCTAAAAATGGATATATTATCTGCAAAAGTAAAATTAGCCTTCAAAACTGATTTTAAGTTCCCAGTCCTCACAATATTGAACTGTTTATAGCCATAATGCAAAATACTGTTCCCAGTGTTTTGTTTTAAGCAGCTCTTTAACCACGATCTGAAGTGTAAGTAACCATAACATGTCAGAATTTTATTTACAATATTTTTAAATTAAAATTCCCAATAGCCAGCATAAGTGTTTTATAACAAACTTAATGCTATCTTTTTTAAATCATAAAAATGTTTGAGTGACATTCTGCAGCACTCTTGCTGTAGGATGACTGACAGATTTTTCAGTTCTGATGCAGATTTGAATACAAGGATGCAATAGCCTATGGTCATGAACGCACTTCCACAGCCCCTCACTGAAACAGAACCTGACTGAGCCCCTTTACTGATGCTGAGTGCATGACACTCTCTCAGGCCCTGGGTCTGTGTCTGCTGCTTTGTGAAGCCCCAACCCATGAATGTGTGCTTGAACAGTATGAGCATTTGTTTGTGTGTGTATATGAGAGAGAGAATTTCTCTGTATGCTGCCTTGAGGCCACTTTTTGGAAGATACTTAGCAAAGTGTGATTTGATCTACGTTGAGTTGCAGGAAATCCTTACTGTATTTTAATTTGTTGCTCTAAATACAACATGAAGGGAAGATGCTAGTTCTGACACTTTCAGTTATACCTTCATTTTTTTTATGTGGGACAATACACCCGCTCGGACCTCTCGTTTCAGCACTAGAGATATACGGGAGATTACACATAACTGACATGAAATCATGTGACCTGCGGCACAGCTCAGCTGCTGTGGTTTAACTATCGGCCATCGAGATGTCGGTGTATGAGTGTACACAGAACAAGCCGTGGGGAATGCTGTGAAGCAATAAACTCTGCTGCTGCTGCTGTTTTTTTACATTTTGTTTTGTTTTGCCAGCATGTAGTTAATGGCAGTGAAAGGTTCCAGCAGTCTGACTTGGGGACAAACAGATCACAGCAGCAATAACACCCTGAAATGAAAGGAAGAGCCCCCTGGCTGAACGAATCAAGTTAGAACCGGCCCCTCTGGTCTCTCGATGACACCAGAACCCCGCGGCCTTTTGTGTGCTTGGGAGGCCTGTAGCGCTTCAGGCCGGAGACCTGCCTGTCCTCCAGTCTGTGCTGAAGCCTCGTTGCCAGACTCCTTTCCCTGCGATGCGCATGAGGAGGGTCGCGAAGGCGGGCGGGTCGCTCTCCCGTGTGCGATTGCGGGTTTCAAAGCTGTGAGCTACGCCCTGAAAAACACACCTGGCTCCTCCAAATCGGGTTTGTGTAACAAAAAATAATTGACGATTGTAACAAAACCACTACCCTTTGGTCAGCTAGAGTGAAACCTGTTGGTCTGGAGATTGAGTCTCTTTTCGATGAGCAGCACTTGATCATGCATTCAGTATGAAACAAGACAGCTGTGATGTTGAAACGATGTAACATTGACAAAGCTATGATGTACAACTGACAGTGTCTACTTCAGCAGCCCATTCCTACATTAACTTGTCTTATTGCACGAAATATGTTTTACCATACCTCTAGTGTTTGCGATACAGTATTTTAAATGTTTTATTTATTTCTTATCAACTGCCGCTGAAAGGCAGTTTTTTTTTCCATATATGTCAGAAGCTGTGCTAAAGCTTAGTTCGGGTTAATTTTTTGTTCTTGTACGAGTACAGACGGAAAATTAGCCAAAGTTACGCAATACAAAAAAGAAGAAGCCCTCTGATAATTCAGCTTTTCATGCAGTAAGTAGGTTAGCTGAAAATTATTTAAAGTTTGTGGTTTAAAAAGGTGTACCTATTATACCAGTGTCAATTTCTATATTATTCTTAGACTGTTTGGGAGAGCAGTAAACTTTGGTTTTTCATGATAGAGTGATTTCCTTTAAAGGTACACTGTACTGACACCACATCTCTGCATCGTCCTGTCTGCTATTTTTGTAGAAGTGTGATGTGGAATTTTCCAGTGTTTTATTACGTTTCATATCTAGGAGGAGTCAAAAGGTAAAAGGAAAGCTGTGTGTTGTTTTACCATCATTTGTCCAGATATTTGTTGCTTTGTGTTTGGAAACCCTTTTCTGATGGAACTTTTGCTCTGGACCTTTGCAGCTCTGGTAGTTTAGCAATCTGAACAACAAATTGTTCATTTTCTGAGGATTTCTGTATGCACTGCAAATTGCTGGATTATCTTTAAATTCGGGCAGCAAGACATTTTAACGTGCACTTTAGCATAGCACTTTCTGATCATTTAATGAAGCCCTTGGAGAATTATGAATGGCTCAGGAAAGGTGTAGTTGGGTATAGTGAATGCTTGCTATCTAAATTATCGACAGATCTGAAAAAATTGCAGACAGATTGGTGTGCATATGCTTCGCCCTTCCCAATTAAGCTGATGACTGCCAGTGGCTCCCAATGTGTTTGTGGAGCAAAAGGGCTACAATGATTCGACACCTTAATTTTGTTCTGTATTGTGATCCTTGGATGCTGGGGAATTGGCTGCCCCACAAGGGCAAAGTCCAATTGGATGCCGCAGAGCACAAGACAAAGGGTGTGAAAGATTTTCTTCTCTCTTCTTTCCTTCTTTAAGACCACAATCAATTTCTTGCCTTTCAGGAGATAATGTAAGACCGTTGTTTTTTTGGATTATATGTATTTTCCATAATGAGGTGTCACCTTCCTTTTCCTATTTATTATTCAGGCTCCAAGTCTAGTCTTTAAAAGAAATTGTACTACCATGCGCTGTACCAAAGCCTTTAGTCCGGCACAGTTTTCACAAATAAAGGCCTTGATATGGTGGTGAAATGTTGTGCAAAAGTCATTCATTTGTTGTTTGTTAGAAGCTTGTGAACAAATTTCAAGAGGGAGGAATTATTGTGAAAAGCAAGCATCAAGTGAGACTCCTTTGTTTTAAGCATTCAAAATTAGGTTGTGACCCACTCCCTGTGCTTTGCTTTATGTATGTAGTTTGTTCTTTTATAGGCTAAGCAGATCTGCATTTTTTACCACCTTTTCTAATTGCAGTTACAATTTTGTATTGCTAAGGACATTCAAGATAACATGTTTACAAATTGTCTATAGTGCTACTTCTGTGAAAGGTGAGTTCTAGAAAGTAAATCGTGCTCTATAGTGTGAATATGTACAAAGCCATTTAAAATCATTAAAGTTTGTTTTTAATCAGAATAAAAGTGTTAACTTACAAATGCAGCTGATGCACCCTATTGTGGTAAACGTAAAGGGGGAATTGTTTTTTTCTTATCAAACTTAAATAGAACAGGCTACTGTATAAAAACAGGAAAAAAAACATTGTGTTGTAAAGAAAATATGGTTTGTTCTGTGGTGATAATCTTAGTACATAATAGATCATTTGTAGAACAGCAGATTTCCTTTATTGCAGAAGAAGCCTTGTCCAGTACAGCCTTCTTGGGGTTTTTTTTAACACGGAAAAGGAAATTCGAAATAAAATCGATTCAGTACAATCCATCCATTCAGTACAGTGTGACAAGCGATTCTTTCAAGAGTGAGGAGCTGCTGTTCTACACAAAGTGTGGAATCTAAAGTAAACGTGTACAGTAAAAATGGCTCTCCAACTCGTCCCTTCCTTACCCCAGTAATCTGTTTTTGATATGTTTTGATGTGGAAACCTTATTAAAACAAGCTCTGTGTACAACACATGCGTCAGACATTATATGCGTACTATACTGTATTCTAAAATACTGAATTGTCTTAAAATGTAGTAAAGGGTGGAAAAAAATGGATTCATGTCAATCTGTGGATATATACATATAATTTATTTATTGGTCTCCAACACAGTACTCAACAAGGTTAAAACATACATGCAGTGTCCTACCCGTTGCGTACGACACCAAACATTAAATATTCGATTCGTTTTTTCTTAACATGACATAAAGTGGTCTTTGGGTTTCAGGTGATTTAAGCAGAGGGGGTACATAAACGTAACTAATTTAAATCAGCCCACCGAGATTAATAATTCAGTTACGTAATATTTAGGGTTTTTTTATATAACTGGACGTTTTAATATGCTATTCTGAATTAAACGTCGCTTTCGCAACAGCTACTGCGCTATGTCGCTATGCCTGGATTAGCCCTGGATTGCGAAGGGCCAAAACCGAAAATAAATTTAAAAAATAAAAGAGACCTCCTGCTCATCCGCCCACCGGAAGTTTACAGTGCTGCTGGCCACACCCCCCTTTCTATCCCACAATACACTGCTGCGCGCGACAGTTAAGCGCTTAGGACGGTTTTCTGTGAAGAAAAGCTATTTTGTAGGAAGTTATTTTCGGTTTTGTGTCGAAGAACACGTACTGTTATATGGTTGCAACGTAATATAACGTAAATATATCGGGGTTTTTTGTGTGTGTGTGACTTAACATTCAGCGCGACGACGATCAAGAAGGCATCAGCTGTTGATTTGTACCTGATGTGTACAGCAAGGACATTCGGGTGATACACAATTGACACGCCTTCCAGGGTCCTCTAGAGCACAGGTGCCAATATGAGCAGTTCTAAAGATGCATCAGGTACGTGGATACGAATATTCAATACAGCGACTTTTCCGATGCTGTGGTTGTCGTGTTGCGGGGCTGCCTCGTCATCTTTTCGAGATCAAGACGTTTTGGGAGGATATTGTCCGCAATATCTGCATAACACTGCCATACTGTCACGGAATTTAAACATATTGGTGATCCGGCATACACAAGTACTGTACCTGTGCCCTGAGCTGAAAAGCTTTTTCACACTGCTCAATATAGAAGCCTTTGTTTATGGCTAGAATGACAACATGAATTTGCCGGAGATTTTATCGTCCGTTTGAATAGATCTAAAATGCAAAAGAAAATGCAGGCTCCTGATGAAAATATTCAATTTAAAAACCTGTTGACGCAATTCCGATGTGTGTATCGTTTGACAAGCAGACGTGTTTGTGTTCCCTTTCAGCTGCTTCCCTCATCCTTACTTACCTGACGGAGAAGAACCGGCCGTACAGCGCTCAGGACGTGTTCGGAAACCTGCAGAAACAGCACGGCCTGGGAAAGACGGTGAGATGGCGATAAGACATGTCCAAGTGTTTAAGTGCACCGGCTCCGGTAACTGATGTTCTCCTCATTATTGCAGTCCACTGCAGTGGCAATGTTTTGTGCACTTGCGGACTGTGAGAACTATTAATGGAGAACATATCCATTATTATTAGAGAAAACACCACAACATACAGCAGCGTCTAGATTATTTTTCAGTCCTGGTATTGTGCTGCAGTGGTTTGTTTTTCACATGGAGGAGCACTGGGAGTTGGGTGGGACAGTGATTAGTATCGCAGCCCTGGGCTCAGTTCCAGACCTGGGGTGTCTGTTCTCCCCATGCTCGCTTGGGATTCTTCCAGGTGCTCTGGTTTCCCCTCAAAGTACAAAAACGTACCTGTGTGTGTTAACTGGCTTCAGGGAGAACTGGCCCTGGCGTGAGTGTGCACGTGTCTGTGTCTGTCCTGTGACGGACTGGCACCTTGTCCAGTTTACACCAGGCCTTGCAGCTGATGCTTACTGGCGTAGGCTCAGGCTCAGGCTCCCCCCCTCCTCGTGGCCCAGAGATGGATCGCTGGAAGCCAGCATGGAGAAACCTGCCCGTGTTCCATTTCTCTCTTCCTCTGCAGGCCGTGGTCAAAGCCCTGGACCTGCTTGCAGAGCAGGGGAAGATAAGGGAGAAAGCCTATGGCAAGCAGAAGATCTACTTTGCGGATCAGGTGAGCTTAAGTATATTTAGAGCTGCCTGCAGTACCACTGCTGTAATGCACTCTTTGGATTATCCCGTAATAGTTAGGATGAGTCTGAATTTAAAGCCCGTCATCATATCCCAATACACTGTCTCAGCTTTGCAGCTGTGCTTTTATTCTGGGGCTAAAACTAAGCTCTGTTTGGAGTTAAATGTCAGTTCTGGTAGTCTAAGATGTGGGTGTCTGAAGGAAACTACGCGGTAACTTGACTGAGGCAGATTCCCCTGGATCTTTTAGGTCCGCATATATAGATCTAAAGGGTTTTACAGGATCTTTAACAATTACTCACAACTTTCGGTTTATTAAAGATGCAATTATCTATAAATCACCTCACTGCCTGGTTAGAGGCATTACCTATAATGCAGTTAATTAACGTTATAGGCCAACTGTTGAACACAGCTCAGGTGCAGTAAACGCCAGAAGGCGCTTGGCCACTCATGATTTTAGACTCAGACCCCTGCATTAAGAAAATATTGTAGCCCTACCATGGGGCAGATGCTGAGCAGGCAGGATATTATTTGACAGTAGGCTGTACAGCTATAATGTAAACACTACTGCTCTGTTTTGAGTGGGCATGGGGAGAAGTGTGTCAGAACTGGGTTGAAACGGAAAGGGCAGGCGTGGTGCTGGTTCACTGCCTCGGGCCTGAGCGAGTCTTGCCGCTGCAGTCGCAGTTCGCAGACGTGAGCGACACGGAGCTGAAGGGAATGGACGGGCAGATCTCGGAGCTGAACTCGCGGGTGCAGACCCTCCAGCAGAGCTGCAGGCAGCTGGAGGCAGGTAGGGCCTGTCCTTCCAGCGCTGGGCACCGTCATGCCCCTCCGTGCTTCGGTTTGCTCAGCACCGTGCGTTTTCAGGAGTCCTGTCTTTTTGCTCCGATCTGTTTGTCACCCTGATCCCTCACTCCTTTTTGCTCATATTCTCCTGTCTGCTCTGCTCTTCCTGACAGCAGACCCCTGCTGCCCATTCCCATTCCTTCTCTTTTGCTATATCCAGACATCCATGAAGGCAGGACCACACTATTTCTGAGCAACCTAGTTAGGCTTCGCCTACAGATCCCACGATTCCCTGGACTACATCACTCACCTGAGTGCATTGTCTCAAAACTCCTACCTTCTTGTTTCTGTCGCCCCAGTCTTTCTGCACTGGCTCCACCTCTGCAGCTCTGAAATTGTTTCAGACTGACAAACAGTGGGGCTACAAACGTCAGCCAGATCAGTTCACGACAGTTATAATGGAAGCCAAGCCACGCGGCGAGGGCAGCCCAGCGATGAGCAAGTGTCAGCTGCTGTTAATAGATGATTTGGTTTACAGTTTCAGGTATTCTTATGCTACAGAATGTGATCCTTGCAGCTGTGCAGGAGGAACTGCACCCTACTGGAGGTTCAGCTAAGCTCACGTGTATTGCTGAGTGTCTGGTGAACCTAGTGTTTGACTGAGGTCCTACTTTTCCTAGAAAAAAAGCATATCGGGGGCTTATTTGTGAAGCACCGTCTTGGCTACCCTTGTGTCTTTGTTTATCGCTGCTGCAATAAACGTGGTCTGTTTGCATTGCCCCGAATACAATTCTGAGCTGTTACAGGGAGAATGTTGTGCATTGGTCTCTACTGGGTGAAATATTTGTGCAAAGCGTGACTTCATGTGTTCTCATCCCAGAATTCCTGACACACTCTGTCACCTTTTTTGCGTTCCATGTTTGACACAGAGCTCAGGGAGCTGAGCAGCTCCTTGACGACGCAGGAAATGATCTCAGAGATCGAGGCGCTGCAAAGCGAGTGCACCGGCTACACCCAGAGGTTGGAGAAGGTCAAATCGGCCACCAACCACGTCACGCCAGAGGAAAAAGAGAAGGTCAGCCGTCCGGTATAAACCTGTCTTTCTGGGACCATAGTCTCCAAGTGGTTCTCTGCCTGAAATCTGAGTACTTACTGAGTTTTAGTACTTGCAGTCCATACCTGAATGAACCCGCACCAGAACTACTCACTAGAATCCTAAACTTCCACTTGAATGTACTGGAATCCTGAATCTGCAGTGAGGTTCTGCACTAGCTCAGGTGTTACAAAACATTTCTAGACTTTTACCTTTAAGTTTGGAGTCTTGGTTAACATACATTTATTCGAGACACTCAGCTGACTGCTGTAGCTCCAGTGAATTAACGGTGGGTGTAATACATACCTTCCAGAATTCTGTTTTGAGCCCAACTCCAACCTAGCGCAGACATGGTATTTGAAATCAACCCTAAATTGGAACAAGACTGTCAACAGAATGGGGCAGAAGATCTTTCCTCCTTTATTGACAAAGATTACAATTAAATGACAGAAATGTATTGAAGAGAATCTTTTGTTTAAAGAAATGCAGTTACTTGCATTAATACAAGTAACTTTACATTTGTTACCAAATAAGAAATGTCTGAAATGATCAGTATAACACATTTGAATTAAAGGGGCACTGTTTAATTGAAAGGGACATCTTACTCTTCCTAAAAGGTTCAATTTTGATGTTACAGCTTTCCAATACTTGTGAACAAGTTAAGTTAAACAAGCAAGTTAAGACATTTTGGAACTACAGTGGTATGTTTATAATCTGTGGAAAGTCATCCAAGATGTTGGTCTCTCTCATGCTTATTACTACTGCCGATTTCTTCCCAATTTAGTACTGACCTCAAACACTGGAGGTTTGGGGGTATATTGGAAGAAATATACCTTCAGAATCCTGGCAGGAACAAATACAGCTATACCAATACTTAATATTTCCTGCTCCGTAGTGTGCAGAAGTTTTATCCTTCTGTATCCTGAAGTAGTTAATCCACCAGAACACACCATCAGGATAAATAGGTATTTTCAAAAAGCACAGAAGAGTGTAACATTGCTGATCAATCGGTGAATAGCCATGTTAGAGAAAAGGATGGTCAAAACTAATGCTTGCACCTATCCATGGCATTCCTGCCTGCAGGTGTGCTGGCCAACTCCTTTCTACCCCACTATGAAGGAGATGGAAATCTGCAGCTGATCTTTGATGAATGTGTTACAGGGGATGTGTGAAAAATGACTCTTCACTGTGTGCTTAACGTTGCTGCTTTCGCTTGGCAGGTTTACAGTGAGAGGAGTCAGTACATCAAGGAGTGGAGGAAGAGAAAGAGACTGGTAATGCTTCTTTCTTCTTTTGTTATCAGATGGAAGAGCAGTGTAATGTTAGCAGGCTTCCAAAATGTTAGGCACATATTCTCATCTTGCAGTGACTTTCCCCTGGGCTAGAAGTGTGATCCGGTTCCGATTTTTAAATGATAGAGCAGATCCAAGACACAGCAGAGAACGGGAAGGTGAATAATTAAGGGGCAGTTTTAGGGAGGCCATATTAGACAGTCCTCTGGTGTTAAAAGCCCTTCTCTCACACACAACAGTGCCATAGTGTCTTTAATGAGCAAGTAGTCAGGACCTGGGTATAATTAAATATTAAATCTACCGAGACTGCTGGTATATCTGCTTTCATTTAAAAAATCTAAAATTTTGTCTGCTAGACTTCGTTGTGTCCCTGTATTTACAAGAACAATGGGTGTTGACAGGGCTGACCCAGTTTCTGCAGAGTGCTGCCCTACTTTCTGTAGTTTTATTGCAGTTTCAGAGGATAATATCAGTTTGATAAGATTTCATTTTAAATGAGCTGTGATTTTTTCCTTAAAAAGTACTATAACTTTTACAGTGGAAAACAGTACCTCCTTTTAAAATAATTGCTTTAAAAAGGGAGGCTGTCCTAAACTGTTTTTTTTTTATTCTGAACTTTTTCTTCTTTCCAAGGCAAACGATATGATGGATGCAATTTTGGAGGGATACCCAAAGAGCAAAAAGCAGTTTCTGGTAAGCAGTTTCAGTGTTTCACCAGACTTTAGCATGACATTTGCATGTAACAAGGCAGCTCTGTCTATCTCTGGCACTTTAACAGTAAAGTGTGGGTTTTACTTGCTGCCTAGGAGGAGGTTGGTGTGGAGACGGATGAAGACTGTAAAGTTACCATGCCTAGTACCTGATGGGAGTGTGAAAGCCGTCTTCGCTGGATTTGGCCATCTCCGGAGGAATGGAATCGCATCCCGCAGTTCGATGGTTTTGATTTTTTTTGCCAAGTGCTGGTGTACAAGTTTACTCCCCGAATGAGAAGAACCAGTGACGAGGCCGATTGCCTGAGAAGTGCCGTTGCACGTTCATTTCAGTTTAAACTATAGGTCTACAGTAACCAGGAAGCGGTTAATTTCAACTCTGTGTTCTGGTTCCTACATCCAGTGCCTTTATGTCACATTTTTTGTTTATAAAATAGCTTAAGAATCTTAAGATCAGAATAATTTATGTCAGGCATGCAGAGCTTCACAGTGATTACACAAGTCAACAGAAAAAAAACAGAAAGGTGTTATGAGCCAAAGTAAAATCTTAAATAGCTTCTGACTGCATGAAGAGATTTACATTAACATAAATGACAAATCTGTTTTCCCAGTGAGATAAATGTCATGGTGCCCCTGATAACAGTTATCAATAATTTAAATTAAAGAGAAATCAAACACCTGCATTTTGATAACAATAGATATAAAATACCCACAGAAGGAAAGATCTTTCATTTTTATTGCTTGCACCACCAGCATATGTACTGTGGGTCAGATATTTTTATACCATTGTCATTTAAAGTATGGAATCACCATTGGAGAGCCTGTGGTCTCATGGCCTGTTCTGCTTTGTGTGTGTGCTCCAGTATGTGCTTGGGGTGGCAGGTGTCTGTCTGAGAGGTAGACAAACCCCTGGACTGGATTTTTAAGGACAAAGGCAGACCTATCTGGTCTCCCGATGATTAGATAGATACTTTATTAAGGCATATGAGAAAAATGAGCAAGATCCATGTTAGGTTTAACATGAGATTCTGAAATGATTTGAAATTGGAAGTAGCTTCTTGTTAATTTTTGTCCTGACAGGATTACAAACATTCACTCTATCCTGCTGCGTATGCTCTGCTTTTCGTTCTTTATTTCTGGATGACTGTGGTATATGTAAATAAAAATAAGCAATTTCTATCATTTTTAAATGTTGTTTAGTTCTTCCTAACTGCCTAAGGAGATAAAGACCTGTATGGTTTGGGGGGCAGCTTTGTGATGGAATTAGATCAAGGACCTACCTGCCCTTCATCATTTCTTTCCATTGAGAATGCTGCCACCTAGTGACATGTTTGTATTTTGCTGTTGGTCAGGGGGCTGAATTTTTTTAATTTGGTTCCAAGTTCAGACACCCAGTCTGGAGGAAAACATCTTTTTTTTCAGGAAGGACAATTCCTCATCCTGTTAAGCGAAGGGCGCACAGACACACAAGGACTACAGAATACGTTTAATCGGGACCTGGAATTAATACAACTGGTAGGCAGCTCCAGTCCAGAACCCCTGTTGAGAAGATACCAGAGGCAAACAAAAAGATGCCCTAGAGTACTGTGGCTGAAATTAGACCATTACTAGATGAAAACAGCTTTAATAGAAATTAGTTTTACAAAACAAATCCATATGATAGTACAGGAATTCTAAACTCAGTTTTAGCTTCTGAATTAACTAGAAAATAAAGGCATTCAAGACACAGCTGGATGAGATCCTCAGCTCAAATAAGTACCAACTACCAGACAGGCCACAGGCCTCTCGCAGTAACCTTTCCTACTGCATTACTAACACACACACACTTAACTCACGTTTACACTGAAAAAGTTGAAGCAGGAATCATCACCGATACAAATACTATGACAACTCATATTTCATCACCCTTCTCCACCAGACTATTGAAAATCGGGGGGGAGTCTACATTTATCCTACAATTCCACAGTGAACTGAATAATACTACAATTCATTCATCTGTCACACTCAAATACTGGTATATATTCCAAGAGACCAAGAAAGCCCAGAGTCTCAGCTCATTTGATATAAAGTTTATAAATTAGACTAAAATTCCCCACTCTTCAGTGCTGTCAATATACTGTACAAAAAGCTTTCTGTACACTACATAAGAGACCAACCAGCAAGCCTTATAATCATGTGTAAAACACAGAACTTCTACCCCAGATGTAGGAGCTGACATTTAATGTCCTAGCAGACAGTACACATAGAAAAAGACGAATGCTTACTTTGTTACACTGTGCATACAGCAAAATGAGATATGAAACACTAAGAATGTTTTCTTTTCTTATTTTGTAATGCCTTTCTTTTTGACATTCAGAAATCCCAAATGAAAAACAGCAGTACCATAATGCATGCGCGCGACAGACATCCGAAAACAGATTAATTATGTTTTTTTTATCGGCACTTCTGTTATTTGTGTGTAAAGTAAAGGACGTTGTTATTAGGGGGTTCCCGGTTCTTTCCTAGGCTCCTCCTACCACTCAACACGCATTATCCCGAGCCTTTTTTGGGGTTGGTCTGGAGGAGAGATAGGTACCTATTCAGGACCTCCTTGATCTCTGCTGGCAGCAGGTCAGAACTGAAAGAGAACAGGTTTGACTAAATTGAAAGGATGGAGGTTGTTAAGGCTGATCGATAACTTTTACCTCAATTAACATGGGGAAATACAAAATCAAAAAACATTTAAACTATGTTTGCTAATGCGTTTGAACCCATGTCTGCTGCTAAATATTTTCTAAGCATGAACTATCCAGCTACTCATTTGAAGCCTGGAGTGTATCTGGCAGATCTTCACTTCATGACAAATGGCATGTGCCAATCTGAGCTGGCACACCAGATTGGCACAGAGAAACACTGACAATCCAGTTCAACTGTATTCTCCTAAGCTTCACACCTCTGCAGGGAGTGATGCATTCAAACTAATTTCTGTTTACAGCAGATAGTTTTATCTGAACCAGAGTGACATGCAACACAATCTTTGCAAAAAAAGCCACTCACAACAGGTATTTAGATGCACCTATTCTGTTTTTTGAACAATTTCTGTCAATATTCCAAAAATGCAAAAATATCAAACTCATTTTGAAGTTTACGCAAAATAAGGGGGAAAATGAGGCCGAAATAAGAGAAAAAGAAGAGACATCAGTTTTTCGTAGTAGATCATGTAAGTGATCACCTCACCTCAAGATCAAGGACTGATACAAGGAAGGAACGAGAACCAGGAACCACCTCACCCTAACTACCTCGTTTTAATTTAATAAGACAGGTCAACAGAGAAGAAATTCTAATTGACAATATCTAGCCAGTAAAGTACATTACTCAGGAGTGCTCAGGGAGCACTTGTAACCACTACCCATGATCCTCTGGTGTGAAGAACCACAGCCCGACCACTGGTCCACAGTGCTGCACAGAATACTGTGTATTTCTATATACAACATATTTACATTTTATGCCCAGTATCTGCTAAAGTAACTGGTGCTTTAACAAACGGATTTACATTTGCAAAACACTGGTATTTGGCAGACATCCTGGGAGGAAACAAAACAGCTTCCATTTATAAAAGCTACATTAAAACAGCCTGTGAAACAACACTCATTTAAAAAACAAAGCTAATAAAAAAGTTCACAAACAAGAATACACAAACTTGTGCAAACCAGATTGCTTTTCTTAAAAAAATGATTGACCAATCATTTGGACAATTTCTGAGTTCAGATTTACCTGTAGCCAAGATAAAGATAGAGATTTCAGTAGAGGCATAGAGTCACTACAAATTAACACTGAAGCCATGGTTCGAATTTATAAACAAGCAAGCCAGATCCTTTTATTTAGTGCTAAACAATATAGAGCCTGGAGCTCCAAAGAGAAATATTTAGTAAAGAGGAAAAGATCAAATAAATAGGGATAACTCCAAGACAAAGCTTCCTTTAAGGCAGTAACAACAACAAGAGAAGGTGTTTGACATCTCCATGACGGGGGGGTATGTTTTTCCACAGCTGTGTGTTTTTAACTTGCCCGGGTGGATCCGAGGGTCAGGTCGCCGTGCAGAGCCAGCGAGCTGCGGTGCTCCGTGGGAGCCAGACGGTGCTCAGTCAGTATAACTGAGTGTTCAGGTGCTGGAGGACGTCCACCACAGAATCACGGAGGGTCTGGAGGGGGGTAAGCCGAGACAGAGAAAATGAGATATGTTATCTTCAGAGCTCTTCCATAACCCAGGAGTCTGGTGTAAAAGACAATTACAGATGAAGGAAACCTGCTAGCTGCATTCCAGATCTGTAACTAAACTCCACTGTACATGATGAACACTTCAATTACTTAATATTTTATGTAAAAATGAACAGTTTCATGAAGTCACTTTAGGTTCATATTTTCATGTTTTCCAGGTACAAAGTGTAAAGTGTAAGTTAAAGCTATTATTTCATTAACTGATCACCACATTTTGACTGATGAATATTTGTTTACCTGCGGTGTATTTTGTAGATGGAAAGACAAAGTATTTAACAGTGCAAAGCTTTGAATAAACTGAGAGAGGTACTGCACAGTTTACCTTTAGACCGCAAGCCGTAATCAACTAGTAGAGTCATGCAAGGGCGTCACAAGATACTTTTTATAACGGTGCACCTCATATGCTCATGCACCCCAAGTCCACACCTGCTCTATGTCACAGAAGTGCGGTCCTGGAGGACGGGCTTAGGGCGCAGTGGGACCCTGCCTTGTGCAGTGGTGTATCGTTGTGTTCCCGGCTCGTCCCCATCAGTCCCCTTACCTGGGGCTTGCAGTGCTCCTCGATCCAGCTGAAGACGCAAGCGGACAGCTCCTGGAAGCTGGACACCGAGATGGAGGCATTGAACGACTGGAAGAGGGAGTCCATGATGCTCTGGAATATGCTGAACTTCACCTGGTCCGACACCTGCTCGTCGCCCTGCTGGGGGTTGTTTTGGTGAGCCTTCACGATCTGTTCATAATTCCTGAGCCAGGAAGACAGAGATCAGCAAAAGACATGGGGACGAGAACCACGCTCGCCTCCTCTTCAAACACGCGCTGCCAGGCCAATCGCCATTTTCCACCCTGCGAGTCCCCCTCCGGCATCTACAGCACAGACATCAACCGACAGAGCGATGCATTTTCCTCCAACTCTGCTCTTGATTTCTAAGCTGTTACTAAAGTCATGAACCACTGAAACACAAGTAAGCATCCGTTCTGTTCCCAGGGACAAGAAAATAGTGAATCTGCATTCAGCAAGCACTACCCAAGGAAAAATGAACTAATTACCTTAACTAATTAAATTTAAGGTAAAACTAGTAGAGAAGCAAATGTTACTACTGTGCTAAATCAAGTCTGAAATTATTTTCTAATTGTATCTTGTTTTTCTTTGCATTTGAAGCCCACCCAATATGGATTCATCAAGTGCTCCTTTTAGCCCCGAGAGAAAACTGCGTATCTGCAATGAAAGATTGAGGAGGTGCAGAAAGACCCCCTCTGACCTACCCACCATGCGCAGGGGGCCAAGCACTGACTGCAGGGGGGGGGCATGTCCGCAAACCTGCAGATACCTGGGAATTTACAGGAGCTGCTACTGTGAGCTGAGAAAAAGCCCCAGTCACCTAATGCCTGCCCTATCCCTGCCTTGGCTCAAAGACCCCACCCCGTCTCTGTTCCCAGTGCTCTGGATGACTTCAATCTGTCGAACAAGCAGGCTTACGATTTCATGATCTTCAGCGCCATCACTTCCTTCCTGAGCGTGGTCACTTCCTCTTCCTGCTTTTTCTTCTCCTTGTGCAGGAACTGGATGTAGTCGATTGCTGTAGAGAGCAGACACAAGCAAGACAGTCACAGGCTGGAGGCAGGAATGGCACTATCATACTTAATCAGTTAAATGCAGTAAGAGAATAAAAGCCATCTTCTAGAAAGACTGTGCATTCATTTTGTAAATAAAATGGCTTAAAGCAAGCTGCCAGAGACTGGAAGAGTGTCGTGAGAAAAATTCCTATTTCTTGTGCTTACTCTTCTGCAGCACGGTTGCCTTGCTCATTTTCTGCGATCCTATGGGAAAATCAGACTGTTGCTGGCAAGTCGGGACTATGGACTGCAAATCATCATACCCTTTCTGTGTGTGACGAACAGAGGAGAAAAAACAGATCTTTAACAGTGACAAACACATCCAAAACAAAGAGACGACAATCAGAGTACATCAATATTTTTATTTTACTCAGTTTGGTACTTGTCTTAGGTGATGAATGTTTCATGCTGCTGTGCATTGATTAGTTTGGATGCTGATGATGATTGATTGTGATGAATAGGAAATCTTCACACATGTCCATGCGTTTAATTGTTAGACTTAATCGCATCAATATTCTTCAATTATAACATTTTATAATCGCAAGTCTTCAGTTATATATCAAAAAGGTCTATTCACTGCATTATTAGAAGTCAGCCCACAACATGCAATTACACAAAAATCAACGCATTTACTCTTCCTCCCAATGAACCACATTCCTGCTAAAAACAAATATCTGGAGAACGGCATAACTGCTTGGAATCAGATGTGCTTTACACTTGGCAAACTAATCTGATTCATTCTACTACAATCAAAGAATGCAAAAATGAAATAATGCCTTTCATAGCCATCCCTGCATCAAAACCCATTCACTAAGCTACTGGGTCTGAGTGCTTTTGCAAACCATAACTGGTCCAACTGTGGTTACGGGTGCCATCTGTTATCATTAGCAAACAAGATCTCTCTATCGATCTGGATCAGCGCCTGACACCAGGGCCAGTTACCCTGATCATTCCCTGTCCACAGCCTCCACATCATCACACAAGAACTGAGAAGGCTTTTCAACATGTTGCCATTTTCTGCCTCCGCTGCACTTTGCACTACCTTGATGGCGTCTCTCCTTTTCTGCTCTGCCTGCGTGTGGGCCTGCCTCCTCCGGTCTTTGTAGGACTCCTTGTAGGAGGCTTCGTGTCTGTAGTCGCTGTCCTCGTCATCTGCAGTTGGAGAACAATCATTGTCTGTCATGCAATCAGCTACAGGGAGAACACAGACGCAGGAAGAGGAACAATGGGATGAGAGCCCTGTCAGTAGGCACACTGCCAGCCCACAGGAAAACAAAACACACAGGATAAAATATGACAGCTTTCCAAGGCCAGGTGACAAACAAAACATTACCATGGAGAAATCTATCCAGTTATAACATGCTCAAGTCAACAATTAGAACTTTTTTAATTTAATTGAATCGTTTTCATAATTGCACCGTACTTTTCATTCAACTTTAGCTGAAAGTCCCTTAAAATGCGCTGTCATCGTCATTGAAACGAGATCCCAGTACCCAGAACACTACATTTCAGCACCGATGTACTTTGTGTTTTGGCAGCTGAAAACCGCCACAACAATTTTTTTTTAAAAAAAAGCAGGTCACAGCTTCCAGAGGTACACGGGCAAACCTTTTCGGCCCAGCTCAGAAAGACTGAGGCCTTTCCTGTGTCAGGACTGAACCAAGAAACCCTGCATTCACCCATTTCTAACCTCTAAATCCCATTCAGGGTCGTGGGGGAGCTGGAGCCTATCCAAGCACAAGGCAGGATACCCCCCTGGACGGGCACAGCGAGGCAGCGACGCTAACCACTGCCCCATGACGACACCCACACCAGGAACCCAATTAACACAATACACCTGGCCAAGTTAGGGCTTTGGATTTTGCCTTCCAGCTTAAATAAAGATGCTTTCTCTAAGGTTTACCTGTGTTTGGGACAGAGGAGGCACTTGTGGAACCAATGCTGTTAGCTCTGGAAACAACACTCCCAATCCTTGCACTGTCCGAAAAGAAAGCTGAAAAAAATAAAATAGGTCACTTCCTTGTGCACACGACTGAGCTGCAGCATGTAGCCCAGTTAAAGGTGATGGAACTTAAAACTCACTGAAGACACACCCGAAAAACACCTTCCACAACGAAAACAGCAACACTCCACTTAATATTTCTAAGCATAAGGGGTGTTTTCAAAATGTCCAACGCTCAGGCACAGCTGTCACACGTCATGCATCTCAAGATGGATCGTTTTAAAATAGATTTCAGTTGTTTGGGCAAACAGAGAAAGAGACCAAAGAAAAAAAACATACAATTTTGTAATTGTTCAAGTAGGTAGCCACATCAGCATGCGCGGCTAGCCACCCACTCGAACTCGAACGTCAGAAGGCAGGAGGTGTCTTCGGATGCCTTCTGGACACCCGAGGAAGGTTCCACACCCAAAACTCCACCTCTCTTCTTTGCCTTTCAGCATGGGATAAACCTTTACCGGTTCCAGTTTTTTAACTGTCTGACCAACTTCAAAAATACAAATGACCTCCAGAAAAGTTCACAGAGCTGACCCAGTCAGACCCTGCCCCCTCTTCCCTACGGATTCTGCCACCATCCTACCCATTCCTCGGATCCCGTGTCTCCACTGGCTTCCCGAGAGATCTGCGGGCAGGCAGGTTTCTGCTCTGGCACAGAGACGGCAGGGCTCCTGACAACACAACCACCACCGACCTCGAGATGACAGGCAGCAAGAGTACTTACAGGGGTCGAGTCCATTGTCAGCGAAGGTGGGATCCGGCTGCTGCAGAGAAAAAGTGAAAAGGAAACAAAACAAGAGATTTTAATAACCAGCTTGAGAGGGGCAATTTGACCAAGCAGCTGTCTTTTCCATTGACATGCTGTGTCAGCCTCTGCAGAGGAAAATGTAGAGCAGGAGTTTTAGATACATAATGCTGCAGTTCCTTTAGAAAGTATCCACCCCCCTTGGTCTTTTCACAATTGATGTTGCAAACTCAACTATACATTTATATGGGATTTTTCGGTGGCTGATCTACACATATTAATCTACGTCAAAGTAGAAAGGAACATTCTACCTTGTATATACCTCATACATACTTCTTTTTTGAATTTTTAAATAGAAGGTATCTGTAAGGATTACAAAACTGCTGAAAAAATAAAGAGAGTTAAGCAAAAATTGGTTTCTAATCTCATCCACACCGAGAGAAAAAAATCACTACCTCTTCTGTCATCTCCACGAGTGATATGTTCAGCTGTGCTTGGTGTTTCACAATCAGAAACAGAATGCTTTTTAATAATTTAAAAAATTTTCATTTCATTTTGCTAGAAGACACCTAATAAACCTCAATTATATCTTCTCTCGTTATTTTCTTGTGTTTTTAATATAAATTATATACGGTACCATACAGAAATATTGTTTCACAAAACTATTCATGAAGCATAAGTTCCCAAATACTGAGCTGTGCACCCAGTAAATGACTACAACGTCGAAAAATCAGTAAAACCACAAAGTAATGATAAAAAAAGACTAGAATAATTCATTCTTTTCTGGTTTCGGGAAAAATGAAGGGTGAACTTTACAAACGCCGTTTAAGACAGCGGCCGATTTGTAAACCTAGAAAATAAAATCTTTAATTTTACATCCCAGATATTGTTACTTTATAGTTAATATTTTTCTTAAACAAAAGGATTTTCCGGCACCATCAATCGCCAGGGCGAAACCAGAAAGCGGAATTGTGCCACAACCCCAATATCCCAGAATCCTACGACCCCATGCAAATGAGCTCATGCCAACAGCCAATTGAAACGCAAGGAAGTAGCCAAGGGCGGGGCGTGTATACTCCCACCAATGTTTTCTTTAAACTTTTACAATGCTATTAAACTTCAATGCAATATTTGTGTGGGATATCCCCGCGTAGCATATTACACCTTTAGGGATTAGCTTGAATTGTGCGCTATATACATACCTCGCAATTCAAACCTATTTTTTTTATATTCACTTTATGTCCACTGATAATCACTTAGCCACTGCTGGCTGGTCTTGTTCTATTTATAGATCGGAAACTGAATGTTTAATTTCCAGTGACAAAGGGTAATCGTTCGGACAAACCAGTATTTATATTAAGTGAAAAATAGGGAAATGCAGCAGAGTACCTTCAAAATGTTAACCTCCGTGTGTGCCCACGGATACTGAACACGTCTACCGTACTGGAACCAGGAGATTGTGCGTGTAAACAACCTCACTACTACAATTCCAAATTCGGGACATAAACTCAACTCGACCCAAAGTCACACACTATGAACTATACCCCCTAAAACGGGAAACAGCAAAAGACAATTATAACAGGTAGCTTTTCATAGTGGTGAAAAATCCTTCTGTATTTTTCTTAACATGCGGCCATTGCCTAAGAGAGATTCGAGTCGCGTTTTGGTTTCAAAAGCGTGCATTTTTAAGATCGCCCATTAAAGGAAACCAGCTGGCTTCTTCTCCAAAAGCCTATAGCTTCCGGCGTCGCAAACAAAAAGAAAACATCTTTTTTTTTTTAATTCCCGTTTGTGTCCCATTTGCTCCGAAAAACAACGTCTACTTAGCAAATCATTATTATTGATCCCTAGTCCTTAACGTGCAGTGCATCGATCCAAGTAACTTCTGCACAGGTTTAACATCAGTGGCGTGTTTAGAATAAGGACTGCGGACTGAGTGCTTCTAGAAAGTGCTCCGAAAAATTAATACAAGTAGAACATGCATGCATTAAAGATGAATACGTAAGAAACCAGAAGACTTCAAAAACGAAAGTTATGTTTCATGACAATAACAAGTAGCGTAACGGAGAAAAAAAAAAACCCTTGATCGTATTTTTTTCCCCGGCCAGTGCGGTGTCTGAACGCTACAGACAGCGCTACGTTAGCTGTCGCTGCCTTTCTAGACGTGGCGGGGGGAAATCTTCCAAATATTCTTGTGTTGCTTTCACGTGTATTAAGGAAGAAATTGTTTCCCTTACTTTGCTCCACGGGTCCTCCGGTGAAGTACTGGGCTCCGTCATCTTGGAAACCACGCCGGAGCATCACGGGAAGGAGAGCAAGGTCGCCCTCTAGGGCGCGAGTGTAGTAATGAACAAGTAAAGGTTGATTCCCTGCTGGAAAGAGAGGGAAACCCAACGTTTCGGTTGTGGGGCCACACCCGAAGAAAAATTATAGTAATTAATAATAATTGCTTACACTTATATAGCGCTTTTCTGGACACTCCACTCAAAGCGCTTTACAGGTTATGGGGATCCCCTCCACCACCACCAGTGTGCAGCCACACCTGGATGATGGGACGGCAGCCATAGTGCGCCAATACACTCCTCACACATCAGCTCTCAGTGGGGAGGAGAGCAGAGTGATGAGGCCAGTTCATACAGTAGATTGGCTCCGCAGCCGAAACGTTGTTTTTCCTTACTTCTCTTTTCCGCAGGGAATAAACCTTTACTTTTTCCTTTGCAGCCTACGCGTGCTAACGCATGTGACGAACTACATGTGTAGTAATGGATATTCTGTCCTGGGAATGGACTTTTAAGAAAAATACCCTATATATATATATATTTTAAAAAACTCAACGAAAAATCAATTAGGCGCGTTTTTAATTTTTCAAGTCTACTTGTGTGAGTGAGGTTTGAGTTTTGTTTCTGCAGTGTCTACCTTTCACCAGAAGAGAGCAGCAGAACTTTCCTATGGTAAAAGTCCAACCAATAAGACTAACAATAAAGACACTGACTCTTAAGTAATAATAATTCATTAATAATTAATTCATAATAATAGATCGCCCACCCCCCTCCCACATTCCTGTATCGGAGATGTTGTGCTGAGACCTGTGGACAGTAAGCTTTTCTGGGTAATGGAGACCACAATGTTTCTCAACAGTACACTGATGCTTTCTCCTTTAAATATGAATGATGCTATCAACAGGCTATGAAAATTAAGTTCAACCCAACCACCAAAAAAGTGGGGGTCTCCCAACCAGGCTCGTTAAAGTCTCTCAAGTTTGTCTGGCATTCAGGGAATTCACAACAATCTTCTCGGCTTTTTCCCTCCTCCCAGTGCCTCAGGACAGGCACGTGAAATATGTGCACGTGTTGGGGTGCTGGCTACTCCAAGCACACTTCTCCATCTCTGTATCTGTTGGTAGGGATGTTTCTTGGTGCCGTGCGAGATAATAGCTACTAATCAAGATGAATACACTGAGGTCAGGAGCCAGCGGAAATCAGACCAGACCTGCTGCTTGAAAGAGCTGCTTCTGAAGGCAGGGGTTGATGTAAGATAAGACATTTTTCCAGACTGCTCCCAGTTTAGATAAGAAACTCCATGAAAATGATTTCCGTTCTCCATGTCGCCCATATAGGGAATTCATAAAGTAGCACAGAACTGCACAGACGAACACTTTCTAACGGCGATACTTCAAACACAGTGAATAACACATGTTGTAAGAAGACTTCCAACAGGAATGGCAAAATGCTGCTTGGACAAAATTAAAATTATATTTTTGCATAAAAGAGGAAAAAGAGCACCACTGAATTTCATGTACTCTTGGTCAATTAAATCACATTTCAGGATCCACCTAACAAAAGTCAGTTCTAACATCCTCTTAAATACATTTTCTCTATGAAGTGATAAGGGTTGATAGGCTTAATATTATTAAATTGAATAAGACATAATTTTTGCTGACATTCCCTACCAGTCTAAAATTATTTTGGGGACTTGGTTCTTAAAGACGTCTGGTTGGGAAAAAACGAGACATCTGGACATGCTTCTCCAACATGTCCATACATACAGCTATTCATCACTGGACAGTCGGCCCGGCGTCAGACAGCTCAAGAGAACCTGGGCTGAGTAAAGCCAACACTATCCCAGCAGCACCTGAGCTTGCGTCGGTGCTGGGAGAATCTTCATCACAGTTGGCACATGGGACAAGACAC